CGGCGGGCATTGCTAATGCCCATGGATAATTCTGCTCCCCTTTATTACAGTTTACTCATTGGAGGTATATACATTCAATTCAACCCATTTCGCGAGGTGAAACGCGTAAAAAACACGAGTGACGCAATTTTCGTGATGCAAAACCACGACGCACAAAAGGTGCGCTACCGTAATCACAAATTCAGACACCGTGTTGATAAAATTCCTTTTTCCTTCCCAGAGTTTTTCCTCTGCGTTTTTGTTGTTTTCTTTTTGTATTCTTTTTTTGCACTGGATGATATCAACTACTGCGAGATGTGATAGAGAGATTTGTGAGCTAGGGGCTGCACAGAGACCGCAGGGAGGTGTAACTGTGAGGGAGCGATTTTGTTTATGTTGTTCTGGAGAACGCTTCTTGCCTGTTTTCTTCTTTGGGAGATTACTTATCAGCTGCTGTTTCATAATTGGAAAGCAGCTATCCATGAGACTTTTATCGCGGGAGCTGTCTTTAACCAATAGCGGTAAGTAATCTTACTAAATACAGCTAACAGCGAGTGGCGCTGTCCCGCACATGTCGTGGGGGACTGGACTCTGCGGGCGACGATCTTGTCGAAACGTCAGACCGATTTCAATAACGTCTTCCACCTAACAATCTCTCTAGCATGATATGTCAAAACCTGCGAAGTTACAACATTGCCGAGGTTTTACGAAGAGATAAGCTGGACACCCATGCAATGGCCTTACAGAAAGCTAGAAAATTGTGAGAACACCGCACAATAGCCCTGCTAGCTGCAGATGCTGAGGTGCGTTAGGGAGCTGGGTTTGGCGCGGTGTTCGCGCCCGTTTACCACCAACAACTGTGGAAGCCGACAGACAAACATAGATGGAGAACAGGCGAGCGCCGCGTCAATCCCAGTCTCCTGTTACTTCCTTATCAGCAGCGAACAATGCTGTAAATACAGTTATACATAGGATGGAACTAGGACTCCACACAGGTGACTATGCGTTAATATGAAGAGGAACTGTGGTCGGAAAAAGTATCTAACACAGGTGTTTTTCCTTTTCAGGGCACTTGTCAACCGAGAAGCCTCTCCTCTCTTTCCTTTTTTCTTCCTCCTCCTTCTTTTCCTTCCTTCCTTCTCTGATCCCTCCTCCTTTACCTTCTCCCTTCAACTACTGGACTGGTAGATGCCTCGTGAAAATAACCCTGGACCCTCGCAGCGAGAGCACGTCTAGTTGACAACATCCCGTAACCATGTTTTTCTGGCTGCTTGAATTCGGTGTTCCGGAACAAACCATCTCTGATGTTGTCCGTTCAACTTTCCACAAGTGAGAACTTTTTCACTCACCCGGACCCTCGCCTCTAAAATACCCCATCGCCGAATTCGTTTTTCACACCTTTAACAGCAGCCGCTCTGCTCTGCCTGCGTTCTCTCTTATTATGGCACAACCTCAGAAAAAAAAGTTGAAGGAGCATGTAATCTTCCCGGGTTCGGCAAGACAAATTCAGTAAGGAACTTCTTGGTAAAAATGAGGAATTACGCAATATGCACTTGAAGACAATCGTTATACGGAAAGATGCTTTCTTCCCTTCGATACGACCTGACAACTGGTTCGTAAGTTTCCAGAAAGGAGTGGTTCGTTGTGTACGTTGGTTCTTGACATCGGACAGAAAATAACACAATTCGCTGATTTCGACGAATTGCCAGTGAAAGCAGTCTCAGTCATGCAACTGAATCGGATTGCGACAGCTGCTAAAGACAGAACGGGCAAGGAGCACATCATTGCGATGGAATTGGCAGAGCGAGGAGATAAAAAGCCATTGCACTTTGCGGCTCTACTCCATGGACGTAATAACCTTAAAAGGGGACATTCAAAGGACTTTTTGTGCAAAACCGGAATTATCGTAATGTAGATAAGGACTTTTGTCTAACCAAGAGCCCAAATGGAATTGAGTTGGTGGATGACGTTATCTCATGAACGATGAACAAAAATTCATTTCCCCATACACCCCCCCACCCCTCTTGTAACACCATCCCGGCACCTTAATACCTTGAAGTAGTTCTACGACACTAAAGCATGGCAGACACGCAGAGAAATGAAAAACTGGCAAGGATTGGCGGTGAAATCCGAGGACTCTTTTAGTAACAAGCAGGTTTGACTGAAACACTCAAAAGGCTGAGAGTGGGGAAAAGAGAATCCTTTGTTTCCCATACAAAAAAGGCGACGACGCGTCCTCCACAACGCACAAAAACTCCGCTGCGACAGTGATTGAATACGATCTTCCCGCCCACTCTTCACCGGCTAATGCCGTTTGGACTCCAGAAATTTCGTCTTCGAGCTCATTTTAAGTGGCAAGATCACCAAATCCGCTAAAAACTTGTATATAGGGGTAATTCAACATCCTGATCACGAATATGACATTCATTTTTGGCGCTGGCGCTAATGGATGACACTACGGTTACCTGCGCTCTGCTAAGGCTGAGCCCAGGAGGTAATCGTAGTGTCCTCTCTTGGCGCCAGCGCCAAGAATGAGTGTCATACTCGTAATCAGGATGTTGAATTACCCCTATATACAAGTTTTTAGTGGATTTGGTGACTTAGGCAATTTGAAAATGAGCTCGAAGACGAAATTTCTGGAGTCCAAACGGCATTAGCCTTGGGCTACTGCGCCGCTGTTGGACGCAAAATTGCAGACCACGTTCCTGGAGGGATATGGTGCCTGACTGGCGTTATCCTCCCATTGTGAATACATCATTTGAGATCACGTACCCGAAGTCGCGATCGTCGTGCTTCTCGCCGCTCCAGGAGTCGCTCAGCTCCAAAACGATCACGGCAGACGACAGGCTCAACGCGATGGTGCCTGCAGTTAACGAACGTGCCGTTCCGATGCACCGAGCAGGAGCTTATTGGGTGAGCTGGGCTTCTCTTCTT